ACCGCGCCAGGGACGATCCCGACTCGCTGCCGCAGGTCAGTGCCCCCGCGCCCCGCGTCCCGTGCCCCGCGCGCGCCACCACGCACAGAGCCCCTTTATGCGTCCCCATCAGTACCCACGCCATGTCCTCTCCGGGGTGTGTGTGTGCCTGTGTGTGTGTCTCTGTGTGTGTGCGCCGCGGGGCCGCTGGAAAGGGGGCCAGGAAACCCAGCCCGGCTGGGAGGTGCTGCCGCTAAGGGGCTTCGAAACAAAACCTGGGCGCTGCCTGCTCTCCTTGGGCGGGCTGTAGCCGGGAAACTGGTTCTCGGCAGCTTCTAACAACTGACCCAGACTCCTGCGCTTGCTCACCCCGGTCCACCTCTGCAGGTGGTTCCTGGTGACCCAGAGGTATCAGGGGCCAGCACCCTGTGCACCCCTATCCTCAGCAGTCATCCCCAGAGCTCTGAGGCTCCGGGCACTGGCAAGTGAACTCTCTTCAGGAGAACCAAGATCTGCAGCTCTGCTGGGAATACTAAAGTAGCAGAGGGCCCTTGGGACTTTCAGTGTGTCAAGGAGAAAGGGAGTACCACCAAGTTCACCAGGCGCCCTTGGGCACCTGGGCTCAGACCCCAGGTCCTGGTGCTTCCAAAGTCAGAGCACACAACTTCAGAAAAGGAAGGGAAGAGGTGTCGTTGGAAGAAGTATAGCATCCAGCAGTGCCAGAGACAGGAGGTGGCTGTGGCACCAAGCAGCTATGGGCAAGAGACACGCCCCTCCCAGGCATGAATGCACACTAGAAATAAGCAAACAAGGTCTCCATGCGCCTCCCCTCCCCCTCCGCGCTCCGGCGGGCCTCCTCTCAGCCTCCTCTCAGCCTCTCAGCCAGCCGCGTACACTACTTGAGTGGATTCGTGTAGAAGCTGTAACTGAGTGACTTTTAAAGCATGTGGCTCTGAAGGGGTCCTTTTCTGGCCCTTGCTAGCCCCATGTTCTGGGACAGGGCTACGGAGCTTTCCCTGCGTGGGTACCAGCCTGGATGGGATAACTTTGTGGACCCTGAGCTTGAGTTGTGTGGCTACACTGTTTGAAAGAACTGGGGAAGGGTGGCTAGAAAACGGCACAGTGAAGTTATTGTGGTGCTGGTGTAGGAATGACAGGTGCAAGCTTTGTAAGTTCTTGGGCTTGTGGTGAGCTTGTGGCCTTATAGGATGTAGGGTGTTCTGAGATCTGTCTTTTGTCTTCCTGCATCTAAGAGCCCCAGCTTGAAAAGCTTGAGGCATTTCCTCCCCAAACCTGCTTAGCTGGTGGCCTTCTGGACCAAACTTCAAGTCCCCCTTCCTTTTGATGGAGTGAAGACCCTTCCCTCTGAGACTCTCAAAGAGACCACTGACAATGCCCAGTCTATGCATGCCCAGCTCCCCCATGGATTCCAATCGCTTGCCGTTTTCACTGCCCCTTTTGGTGGGAGCCAGGAGCCTTGCCAGGGTTAATGGAACAGGGAGGATTTGTGCCCCATTCGGCACAGAAGACGGTGGCTTGCGGGCCCATGTCTGTACCTGATATGCAGATGCTTGGGAATCACTCCATGTTCAGACCTCTGGAAGCTCATGTGTGCTGGGGTGAGTCTGTGTACCCAGGTTTCTGGATGAACAGGTACTAAGGGCTGCACCTGTCCCACTGAGGTGGGACAGCTCCAGCCCCAGTGACAGGTTGGAAATGGCAGAGTCCAGGAACACCAGAGAAAGATACTAGAAGGGTGTGCCTAGCTGCCTGCCTCAAGCCTCTACATAGATCTGGGTTTCCCCACAGGGGTTGTGATTGAGGGCACCAAGTAACTATACTTGTGGCTGACAAGGCGGTGCAGGCGTCAGGCTTTAGGACAGGAGAGCATGTTGGCTCAGTTTGACTGCAAGAGAGGGACAAGCTGGCAAGGAGATGCCTGAGAGCCCCCTTCAGCTGCAAACTGGAGAAAGGCAGGGCCTCAAAAGAGAGAATCAAAGAGTATCTGAGGCAGGCAGACAAAGACCCAGAAGCATGTTCACAGAACAACAGAGGGAGGCCACAGAGCAGAAGTCCAGTGCCCACTGCTGCTATGGGGGTGAACCCAGGGCCTCTTCTTCCTAAGAGCCCCTGAGGCCATCCCCCAGGAGGGTCCTTTCTGCTCTGATGAATGGGGGTGGGAGAACACTCAAAGAGAAGCAGAAGGCCATCAAGCTGTGAGATCATGGGGGGTGGGGGGGAGGCGGGGAGGGGCAGGGATGGGAGGGCTTTAAGAAGATCCTGTCCTTGCCCACCCCTCTGGTCCTGGAATACCATAAGGTAGGGAAGGGTGTGCCCCTGGGAGACTAAGACCTGTGGAGAAGAAAAACACCCTTCATGCAGCCCTTCCCGGATCCGCATGCTTCCAGGCTCAGACTTTTAGGGACCCTGTAGAAGATCTTTGGACACACAGAGCACACTCTGTCAGCCAGGTCAGGGGTACCTGTCTCAACCCCCTCCATGGCCAGTGACCAGTAGAGTAGACTTAGGGAAAGCTGAGCCCTCTGAGCCCTGTTTTCTTAAAAGCCTAGAAACTGAGGACCCTCCTCTCACTAGGCTGTTTTAGGTGAAGTGCCAGGTGAATGTTAATTCCATTTACTTGCTTTCTACACCCTGCCCACGCTCTTTCGGGATCTGGGTGACTGTAGAATTTGGAGTAGCAGTTCTCTGGCCAATCCTGGAACCAGTCACCTTGGAATCCTGGGTCTCTGCCATCTCCCATACCACCCACCTCATCTTGGGGCTGCGCTCCTGATCGGGGCCGGGACCAGGCCCACCGGAGCCTGCCTCTGCTGCCAGGCCAATCTAGTGTCTCTTTGTATTGGTGCCGACAAGTTTCCATCTGATAAACCGTCAATGTAATCATTCCAAATTATCAGTCAGTAGTCGTGTTAAAAAAAATAATAGTAATTCAGTTTACAAGAATCCCAAATCCCGAACTTACCACCCATGCTGATGTCAAGATGGACAGAGCTCACTCAAATTTCTGTTTACTCCCAGAGACGTTGACTGTATACCTACTGTGTACCAGGCCCTGGGCCAGTGCTGAGGAACAAATAATCCCACCAGACCAGGATTTTCTATTTATCTTTGGAAGGGTTATATGGGTTGCTTTTTTTTTTTTTTTTTTTTTTTTTTTTTTTTTTGCAGCTACAGCAAATTTACTTTTCTAATGAGGTTTAGCTCCAGCCAATATTAAAATGAGTCTGTGCTTCCTGCACACACCAGCTGACAGCAGGGCAGGCAGCCTCCAGCCAAGTGCCTTGCAGGGATTAGGGCTTTACTGCCGATAAGCCACAAAGTGGAGAGTTTCAGTCTGAATCACCAAGAGTTGACTGGATTTGGGGATCAACCTTCTCCACAGGTCCATGGATCCCCACAGCTCAGTAGTAGAGCTTCTGGCTTCTTGTGTGTGGGAAATGTGAGCTGTTATAATTGTTCCAAGAAGGCAAAAGGGCTGGAGAGCAAGACTAGAGGCTGGACCTTGGCAACCAGCACTAAACCCATAGGGCCCATCCTGAGGCCAGGGGCCGCAGTTCCGCCAGTCCTCACTGACAGGGAGTGCTACTGGGTGCTGTTTTTTCTTCCTTAATCTCTCCTCATCTTGCATCTGTCTTATGAGGTACTTGAGGGACTGGACTCTGAGGCTGGAAGTCCCTTGAGGCTCAGGTCTCTGGGCTGTTCCTTTGACCATCATTCAGAAACCCTTTCAGCCCAGTTCTGGATGCTTCCCTCCTGCTAGGTGCAACCCCACAGCCATATTTCACCAGTCAATATCCACAAATGGCAGCACTGACTGAACAACCCTGATCCACAGCATTCCCAGCACCACAGCGACAGCGTTGCTCTAGACTTTCGTAGATGGTATAGCAAGGTGGCGAGAGCATGGAGTCTTGCACCCATCTGGCTAAACTCAAATCTGGCTCTGCCAGTAATGAGCCGTGTGGCCTTGGGACATTACTTAACCTCTCTGTGCCTCTGATATCTCATCTTTAAAATGGGGATAAGATGTTTACAAGAAGGGATTGAGTCATTTTAGAGTTAATCATGTTAACCTCTCAAAACTTGCAATTGTAAGTGCCTTGCTCAGCAACTTTTATTATTCATTTAACAATTCACGTAACAAACACTTATTGAACAGCTTACTTAGTACCAGGCATGCTGCCAAGTTGCCAGGGCAGCTGGCAATCAGCATTGTCCTTGCTTCCATCTCTGACCCTCCCTGAGACTCAGTTTCCTCACCTTTGGTGACCAGAAAATAATCCCTGCACCCCCCTAGCTTGGTAAGACAAAAAAAGGAAGAAGGACCACCTTGTAATAATAAACATTACCAGATACACAGGGTCTGGCATTTTTGGAAGTGGATGCAGCTGAAATTGTTTTACTGGAGGCACTCTCAGCAAACAAACTTTTCCTAAGCCTCTACGCATTCTAACAGCACCTAATCCTAACCACTAGGCCGCCAGGAAATGGCCTCCATATGCCCTTAATAAAAGGAGAATTGAGGACCCAGCTGCTACCACCACCACCTTGCTGATGAGCAGGGGTGTTGTGGGGCAGAGGCGCTCTGGCCTGCTCTAACCCTCTCTGGCGGCCTGCAGAGAAAGAAGCAAGAAAGCCACTTCCTTGACTCCAGAAGAGGGAAGAGGCCAGGGGTCTGCTTGGCCTCACAGAATTTAGAGACCAGTTGACCGGTCACAGCTGTGTCAGCAACTCAGTGAGAGGCTCTCATAGCACCTCTGAAATACAAGGAGCATGAACTGTGTGGACGTGTCCCCATCCTGATCTCTACGAAAGGCCCCAGGAGCAGAGGACAAGGGAAAGGAGGGACTTCCGGAGGAAATGGGCCTGGGAGCAGGAACTACCATCCTTCATATGCGCAAGTGATGGACCCAGCTGCCTCTCTCGCGTGCAAGGTCTCCTCTAAGATTAGAAGTCTGTGACTCTGGGAGCTTCCTTTGTTGATATAGATAAGGATGCCAATGTCTGGAGAGGTTCCACTCCTGCCTCAGGTCAC